GGCCAGATGGGACCCAATGTTCGAACAATAAAATCTCTGAAGTATGGTGACAATTTCCTTTCGTACTGCATGCGAAAAAATGTCCTCTTTCAAATAAGCATTGATTTTTTTGAACATCATCACGTAAAAGGTTAAAGGAAGTTAAGTGCATAATCTTCAATGTCATGTCAATTACTGAAAATTTAAACACAGTAATATCTTTAATACGTATGATAGGAAACTGGCAAGCTATAATCAGCTTTGGTCCAATTCCATCAAAGGGTATCATAGTAAGATACCTTCCCTTTTGTCTAAACAAATAGTGTAAAATATCAGCAATCTTTCTTTGAACAGGACCATACACTCTATCCAGAAACATATTTTCAGCTGGTATGAAATAATTAGGACAATTGCGTTCCTCTACCCAAGTACACATCTTCATCAAACACTGTTCGATACAATGCAGTAAATTTTGGGGCTGCCATTGAACTGTTGGTGTGGCCTCTATCATGTAAAACATACAGGTCTTCCAGTGATAGCTGGTCAATACATTTTCCCCGCACATTGGTTTGATGTAGAGCTTGTTGATCATTTTTAGTAATACATAGCATCTGTATTGAGTTGAGTTGAATTGCCAAACTAGTATTTTCTCCCCATATGATAATGAAATTCTCCATTGAATGTGTTTTTCAGGGCTTGATTTGTGTCCAACTGGTACAAGTAACGTCCCTGACTGCTAAATGATGAAAATTGTTTCTGGTGACGGCCAGTTGTGTTCTCTGTGTCGCATTATCCACTCTGAGGCTTTATAAGGCCATGATAGATTTTTTAAAGCAACCACATGATCAAAAGAGTTAAATTCGTCTGATTTATTGAAATCTGTTTATTTAATAGCAGGTCCATGATGTTCAGAACAACTATCCAGTTTCATATATTCATTATTGTACAGACAGGATCGACCATTCCTATCTAGTATTAGCGTGTCGGTCTGTAAATTACATATAGGCTCTGGTACATTTCTGTATACTTGTTGTAACTTTACATATCCTGGCGGTGTGGTGTCATCCATAATCATGAGAAGTACCGAAGAACCAGGCTCCCAGGACTGCAGATCTTGTAGTACTGTGATCTGTCTCAAATAAATACAATCAATATCTGCTTTTAACCCTGAAGTAGTCGTTGCCTCAGCTTGACTCCCGAAGATGTGAGTCTTTACACTATTCCCACAAACAGCAACTGCAAATAACTCCTCTACCTGTGTCCACATTTCAATTCTCTTCCACCGAGCTTTCTCCGCCAGTCATGCTGTGTCCAGTACTTTCATTAGTCTTACAGACATCTCATTATAATACTCAGGAACTTCCATTTTGAAGTCTAAAATATGGTGACAATAAAAATGAGATAAATATTTTTCATATTTGTATTTAATGTCTACAATCATAATAAATTATGTGCAGTGATATAAGTCTTTATCTCTTTCAGTCTTAATGGATCGTTATTGCACTTAATTAATATCGATAATAGGATTAATAATAATAATAATAATAATAATAATAATAATAATAATAATAATAATAATAATAATAATAATAATAATAATAACAATAATAATAATAATCATAATCATAATCATAATCATAAGAAGAAGAAGAAGAAACAAAAAAAAACAAAAAAAAAACAACAACTAAAAGAAGAAAAAGAAAGGAAAAGGAAACAATTAATGTTAATTTATTAAATTTTAGGTTATGCACAACTTGATGATCTTCAATTATTTTAGGTACATATAGCCAGTTTTGAAATGGAGTTTGTATGATAATAATAATAATGAAGGAATGAACTTGTAGTGTGATAAGATGATGTAATGTCAAGTTATAAGGCTTAGTCAGTGGCTAAAACGAAGATAAGGGATTAGGAGAAGTACAAGAGGAAATTGAACTGTGGTTTAGGCCCAAAGGGCATCATCCTAATGACACGTTTGATGACGAGACTCTAATTTCTTTCGTCCTGGCTCGTCCTCATCCTGGGATCATCCCTATTGTACATGTACCTTGAAAATGAGATGCAGAAAGGGAATTATGCAAGAAACTTTTATTAGCCTTTTACATGCTGTCTTCATGGGGCATGCTCAGTGATTACATAGGGGTCATGAGCAGAACTATTCTTACTGGTTGGCATTGGCAGCGGAATTCAAAGAGCCAACCAATTAGATAATCTTACGTAACATTGCAGGATCATTGGAGTACCATTTGACCAGCCACTTTTCTGGTTTTTCAAAGGTACAGACAATGAAAAAAGAGTTTCACTTCTCTGGCTTTTCAAAGGTACAGATAATGAATTAGAGTCTCATCATCAAACGTTTCTTATCCTTTCGTCCTGGCCCGTCCTCGCTCCAGTAATCACCCATTAATTAATATATCGTGAGTTGTGCCCTTATATTGTTCATGCGCATGGGGATGCCATGGGATGGGATATCTTTCCTCAATATGATACTCATGCCCATTGAATACATTTCTTTTACAGTGTTAAAGAGTAAAAATATAAGATTATTTATTCATTATGAGATCAGCCTAGCTCTATTCCACGAATCTGTGATCAACCCAGAATACACTCTTATGCAGGGATCAGCCTAGCATAACTTAAGACAGGATCAACTCAGAATACATTTGTATGCTGGGATCAACTCTACTTAAGCTGGGAACATTCCAGACTGTACTTGAATGCTGAAATCAGCCTAGCACAGTTTACGGAAACTGGGATCAACCCGGATTATGCTTTCATCCTGGAATCATCCTAGCAACAATTATCCTTTAGCTGATATCAGCCATCATAGAGTTTGAGTGATGTAAATAACACACTGTCATTAGGATGATGCCCTTTGCGCCTAAACCACAGTTCAATTTCTGTTCTTCTCCTAACATGTCGTCGAAAATGACCAGATGGGTTTAACTAGGGTCAGACACGATTGTGTCGTCTTCGCAAGGAATGCCTTCCACAAAGACGATGAGATTGCCTTGACTTTCTTGCAGAAGGCTGTACGCCGAATGCCACTCTTTGTAACACCACATCTATCTTTGATGTGAATCACTAAAATGCTGGCATCTGCCTCTCACAGACTTTAATTGCGATGGTATCAGCGTAGCACCAAATTGATTTAAGCTGTGATCATCTGAGAATACACTATAATGCTGGGACCGGCCTAGTAACGATTGGGAATCAGTCATTAACATTGAGCAGGGATCTGCCTATCAATTCCACTTGAGTTGTATCAGCTCAGAATACACTGTGATGATGGGATCAATCGAGCACAGATTGGGATTCAATCTTTCACATTGAGATTCTATCCAATGAATAACCCCCAGAGAGAGAGAGACAAATATTTAAAATATTTTAATAAAGTATTGATGTTATTTTAGGCATGAGATTGTAGAATATTGGTAATAATTAATAGCGGCATGTTTCAGAGAGAGAGACAGACAGACAGACATACAGACACTGAATGCATACACTCAATTATCCTATATTTCTTACAATGCATGCATTAAATTTTTTTCTCGTACTATTAACTATTGTTTTATTCAGCTAAAATAGTAATAACAGCACCAAAAGTAAAAATAATTTATCCAGGATACTTAAACAATGAACATAATTACTGTCAGAGTATAAGCAAAAAATAACTTGGTTTTGCCTTAGATGTATTTTTCACCTTTATTGGTTGTGCAGGCGTACAACGGTACCTGTCAATAGTGCAATGTGTTGTCCGTACGTATATGTATATGTAAGATTTTACATGTGATGGAACCACGAATATAGACGTAACAAATACAAGTGTGCTGGTTTCCGTCTGTACGTAAAAGTACCTGAGGTGTATCCGTGATGGGTGTGAGCCACCAACCCAAGGATCCAGTGAAACTATTGGTGTAACACTGTGAATCTTATGACTGTTCAATTTTTTACAGTGAAATATTTGCTTCAATTGATTGTGTTTTCAATTGAGTACAATATTATTTGCATTACATGTGATTATGTGAATCTCGCTTTCATCGTTACATTGCTTCAAACTATGTGAATCTCGCTTCATAGCATTCATTGTTTATTTGAAACCTAATGTATTACATATGTGAGATTATGTGAATCTCGTTTACATTGGGTGATATTAGTGGAAACATTTTTGCCGTCCATGAAGCTATTTGAATCTCATTTTTTTCGTGCTACAGGTATATACATCATATTTTTTTTTCATTTAGTGATGTGTGTAGAGTGAGTGGATCAATCGTATGATATGAATGAGAGAGTTTCAGTGCATATATATATTCTTAGTAATTCATTTTATAAATACCCATCTTCCTTCAGATTGTGTTTGTGTTGTTCATTTAGTCCAAGAAAAGTAACACATTGGGTTTCAGTTCTGTTACAATCACAACATTTAAGATGGAGAGAAAGCAAAATAGTAAAATATGAATTTAGCAGCTGTGTCACTTTTTCAGCTATCCTTTCACATATTTTATTTTCATTCTAGATGCCACTTTATGAGTACTACTATATGAGTAGTATTAATAACTGTTGAAATAGCAAAACTTGTACTGTTAAATTCTTATTGCATTTAACTTCATTTGCATTAATTTAGACCCAAATAAACTCAGATCATAATAAGGTCCGACAAAAGTAAATAAATTATGAATTAATTACTTAATTAAGCAATTAGTCACTCAAATCAATTTGATCAACTAGTCCTCAGTTATACATTGCAAAACTTGCAATTGTCAAAACAGTTTTACTATGCAGTGGTTTTGTTGTTGTTGTTGTTGTTGTTATTGGTCTTAACGCCATTTTTCAGCACACGATAGGCTATTTATGGCGGCCAGTATTAATGGTGGAGGAAGAAACCGGAAATCACCGGAAAGAACCACCGACCCACGAGAAGCTACTGGCAAGCTTTCTCACATATCCACATTCGCTATGCAGTGGTTTTATTTTGAGACTATATTTTAATTATAAGTTTTATCCTTTTCTCAAAGTCACAAGACTACTCCGGTGGCATAGTGGTTATAGCGTCTGCCTCGATTGCGGGAGGTCGTGGGTTCGATCCCCAGCCGAGTCATACCAAAAACATTTTAAAAAATTGTATCAATAGCTGCAGCGCTTCACGCTTATAATTAAGACGTTAGTGTTAGGACTGGTAGGTCTAGTTTCAGGATAATGTAACTGGGTGGGATATCATGCTACATGACTGCGGCATGATGCTCCGGTGCTAGTCATCACTATAAACAGCCACACTGCAGACATCGTAGAGATATGACTGAAAACTTGTTAAAGCTACGTTAAAAATCCAAATCACAAACATATCCTCAGTCACGAATTTAGTGTCTGTATTTCATAATTATCTAAACTTAATTCGCATCTGGCAGTTGGTATCGTTTGCAACAAACGTTTATCTTGTGTCGTCCAATTATTAAACTCCTTCTTGCGGAAAAGAATGACATCTGACAACAGATTCTCATTACAAATAAAAGACAATTCCTAAAAAAATTTTATGCTCAAAAATATAAATGCAAAGTTAAAAAGACATTGAGAATTTTTAAAAAATGGTTATTCTTTCAAAATATACAAATTAGCAGATTTTATTTGTTTGAAGATTCATGCAAATATGAACATTACATATACAATTAGTTTTTAATATGATTTCTCAAAATACATTTACAACAATTTTCAATTATCTAATTCGTTGCTTCTTTCTCAGTTGGCCGTATCATATATTTGTGATTATTTCATGATTTCTTCTCTCATTTCTTCCGTTCCTTTTTACCTCTTTTCTTCCATTTCGTTTTTCCTCTGTCATGCAAACTCTCTTTCATTTTATCTTTGTAAAATTCCTTCCTACGTTTGCATGACCATAACCACTAAAATTGAGATAGGATGAGGAAGAATGACAGTGATAGGATCGACAAGCTTGACGTTGCATTAGATACTAAATGCGCTGTATATTTTGAAATATTTACACCACAAAGTTTACCAAAATTTCTAAATGTGTACAGAGTATCCGAAAACTGAAAACATGCTGTTTCGTTATCATAATTAGAACCTCAATTTCGTTTCGTTATCATAATTAGAACCTCAATTTCGTTTCGTTATCATAATTAGAACCTCAATTTCGTTTCGTTATCATAATTAGAACCTCAATTTCGTTTCGTTATCATAATTAGAACCTCAATTTCCCTGCCTATTAGACTTAACACACAGTTGATAGCTGCTATATTTTGTTTACCTAAACGTGTAATTGATTCATTTGCTCTGTGTCTTTGACACATATTATTACATGTATCAGTTTGTAGGACATGTCTATGTTGAAAATTTCTGAAGTTTCAGTAAATTTTTCTCTTTGCACATTATAACAGTGGTAACAACTGCTACACTACTAGTAAAAGGTTAAATTTAGACTATCAAATATAAGTCACACAGCAGCAACATTTTACTAGACCCAATAAGACTTTGGGTGGAGTTGGGTGGAGAGTTTTTCTAGGCATGCTAGTTGTCACGGTAGCCTAAAAATACTACCACAAGTACCCAATAAGCGACGTTGTGCCTTGATGAGATATACTCATGCCATGATGTTAGTATATGTTGAAGATTAATTGGGTTTTATCGTTGCTTTGAGGTATTTGCTTTGAGGTATTTGCTTTGAGGTATTTGCTTTGAGGTATTTGCTTTGAGGTATTTGCTGCTGTATGTGAGATACATCATCTGGGGTACGCTATGCATGTGATGCATCCACTACATCAGACGAAACTGTTGAAGGCACTTCTCAAAGAGATTGAAGACTTTATATTATATCTTGAAACGAAACGCTTTTCGGGATTAAGAGATTTAGAGATCGTGACAAGACACTTCAGGTAACAAGCGATAAAAGCACAATTAAAGATAAAGGTTAGAATACCATCATAAATTATGGTCCTGGATGACTTTAGGTCGTATAAACCTCTGTGAGAAGAAAGGTTTTAACACTGACTGTGACATTCATTCTCAAAGATACAGAGACTGGATCCAACTCCTGACCTGTTGGAAATCTGGAGTAGGCACTCCATCGCATATGCATATGCACCAGGCCAACAAATTAAAATGCGTATAGATAAAGTCTCATCGACAGCATATAATAGCTTATAGCCATGGTCCATCTAACGGACAAGGCAACCTATCGCCGTATTGGAACCTCAATGGAAAAAGAACATATCTCCGAGTTCACCACTCACCCATTTCATGAAAGATCAAGTACAGTATCATACATAAAATTAAAATAGGGAACATTAAATTATATTGGATGCCCTTGTATGAAGAATATGTAATGGCGCGTTTCATGTATATGTGCTACCACTGTACGGCTGCTGTTCACTGCTATCGTTTTATATAGAGAGCAACAGCTTTACAGTGCTTCCACATATGCAAATACAGTTACCATAGATTCAAATTTGTGTGTGTGTGTGTGTGTGTGTGTGTAAAATTTAACAAATAATTTTTCCCCTAAAAAACAAAGTAAAATTGAGAAAAAGGACTCATGGTTTATAAATGAAATCCACAAATGAATTCAAGAATTTAAAATAGAAGTCCTATAAATGAAAATCCCTAAATGAATCACAGCTCGAATACCAAAGAAAGTCCAAGATAGAAGGCGGTGACGTCTTCAGTGGTCTGCTTTGTCCTGATTTGTTAACGGTTCCTTGTTGCATAACAATTTATAATGTTCCAGTTTAGAATTTCTGAATAAATTTTATTAAATGTCTATGTTCAATAATTGTGATGAGCACTAGTATTTTTCAGGGAATATAGATTTTTAATCCGAAATAGAAAATTCATCTAAAACTAGTCACAACAAAAACACATTTCAGTTTCAATTTTTTTAGCCCATATGGTTTGATTTTTATCATAACACCATTAATCTAATCTAAAACGCAAAACAGTCACGTGATCACCAATCTATTGGACGACGCATAAAATATTATATGACAATTATCGAATACTCTAGTATAGGCTTAGCTAAAGGTTAATGGCTCCCACACTGGAAATGAATAAAAAATGTTGTTTACTCCAAATGACACGCAGGTCAAGCATAACCTTGATTACGTCCAATGCTTTTCACTCTGGGAAAGAAATAAAAAAGTTGTTTACTAACTTTTAGATAAATTGATTGACAAATTTGCATCAGTGTGTCTGTCAAAGAATTTCGAATCGATGCTAGATGTTCATTCCAAGTGTCGTTGTAGATGATATCATCGATATAAGCATCACAATTATCTAGACCAGAGGTAATCGTATTCATTAAATGTTGAAAGGTACCTGGCAAGCCCTTCATCACAAACGGCATCATTTTATACTGATAAAGTCCATCTGGAAATATCCTTTCCTTTCCAGTTAGTGGAATTTGCCAAACTCCTTTCAGAAGGTCAATTTTGTTCACCTTCCTATAATCAATGCACATATGGAAAGTATATATGGTTTCGGAACAAGTATATATGGTGTACTCCAATCACTTTTATTGGCCTCTATGAAATCATTCTCCAGTCCAGGAAATATTGAATTTCTTTTTTTAAGTATTCCTGTTTGAGAGGGTTCATCTTGTATGGGTGTTGTTTCACAGGTTTGGAACTTACCATTTCATCGTCATGGAAATTTTGTTTGTCCTTGTAGGAACATCTGGAAATAAGTGCTCATCTTTAAATAATAACTGTTTAAGTTCATTCCTTTCTTGCTGTTACAAATGTGAAAGTTTGTGGACCAAATTATTCATAATTCTGAGTTCCAAAAATTTGTCACTCCAAAATCAATAGAGTCTGAATGAATTCCTTCACTTAAATCCTCAATGAGTGGGACAGGTACAACCAAATTAATTGCATGACTTAAATGGCTATCTCTCTCAGTACACTACTTCTCCATTAATTTATTTAGAACAGAGCACTTTTATTATAATTTAACGCATTCATTTTCTTCTTTTCTTTCCAAGGGCGTAAAATCTAATTTGAAGAACATTTTGAACAATGAGCAAGAGAAAAAGAACTCTATTACCACACTCAAAAGTTCTTTCCATTAATGTTCTGTGAAACCATAATTTCACTTTTGACCTGAATAGCTGGATGCCAAATTCAAACCCAATTTGCTGGAAAATTCCAGACATAAAATTTGACCCTTGATCAGAATGAACAAATTTGGGAAGGGCAAATTGAATTTAAAAACACATGAAATAATGTAAATAATTTAAGCTAGACTTACGGTTTACAGAAATGATCCAAATTTTGTTCAAAATAAAAATATAAGTCCTGTAAAAAGTTCTAAGCACAGTCTGAAAGTGTATGATGTTCCGGTCCAAAATGGCAGTTGTGTCAAATTGTAGGAAAATAAAATCAAAACATTCCTAAAGCTCATTTGAAACCAATTCTTGCATTTGACAAACCATTAAGTAGAGTTGTAGTAGATTGTATTGATACCTTACCAAAGACCATGCCATATAACCAAAATTTGTTGACAATCAAGTGTGTGTCAACAGGTTTTTCAAAAGTAATTCCTTCGAGGAATTTTGCTCAATTTGGCCTTCTCAGATTTGATCAGTTTGGTCAAAGGTCAAAGTTAAAGTCTGGCATGTTCCAGCTTATTACACTTGAATGTCGCATTCAGCATTCAAGTCGAAAGTGAAACTATGGTTTCACCAATCCGTACTAGAGAGAATTTTTGGGTCCTGTAATAAAGTCCATTCTCACTTACAAATTCTGCACAATTTTCTGCAATTAAGATTATATGGCCCTTACAAAGTAAAGAAGAAAATGAGTTAGATTATAACATTAGTACTCAAGTCTAAGTAAATTAATGGAGTACTACTGTTTTTAAAGAAATAGCCAAATAAATCTTGTAATCAATTTAGTTTTACCTGTCCCACCAAATGTATATTCACATGAAGGAATTCAACTGGATACTACTAATATTGGAACAACAAGTCTGCAGAATTCGGAAGTTATGAAAAATCTAGACCAGAAACTGTTTTCATTTGCAAGATCAAGAAAAAGCTGAACTTGAACAATTGTTGTCTGAATATAAACATTTGTTTTCAGACGTGCCTAC